GGGATGGATGGTGGCGGCAGTTGCACAACAATGCGAATGTACTAATGCCACTGAATTGCACACTTACAAATGGTTAAAATGGGGCCGGCCTGGTGGCACAGTGGTTAAGTTTGCATATTCCGCTTTGGTGGTCCAGGGTTCGCCGGTTCAGATCCTGGGTGTGGACATGGCACTGCTTGGCAAGCCATGCTGTGGTAGGTGTCCCACATAGAAAGTAGAGGAAGATGGTCATGGATGTTAGCTCAGGGCCAGTCTTCCTCAGCAAGAAGAAGAGGATTGGCAGCAGATGTTAGCTCAGGGCTGGTCTTCCTCAAAAAAAAAAAAAAAGGAGCCAAGTAGGGTGAGGAAATACACTGAGGGAGTAAAGCGACTAGGATGGATATCTTTTCCTGCCTGTTGGGGTCAGAATGAAGACTGTAACAGGATTATGCCTTTTTTTTTTCTTTTTGGTGAGGAAGATTGGCCCTGACCTAACATCTGTTGCCAATCCTATTTTGTATGTGGGTCGCCACCACAGCATGGCTTGATGAGCGGTGTGTAGGTCTGTGCCTGGGATCCAAATTCATGAACCCCAGGCCACTGATGCAGAGCATGCAAACTTAACCACTACACTACTGGATCAGCCCCAGATTGTGACTTTTTGTTTCTTTTTTTTTTTTTTTGAGGAAGATTAGTCCTGAGCTAACTGCTGCCAATCTTCCTCTTTTTGCTGAGGAACACTGGCCCTGAGGTAACATCCATGCCCATCTTCCTCTACTTTATATGTGGGACACCTACCACAGCATGGCGTGCCGAGCGGTGCCACGTCTGCACCCGGGATCTGAACCGGTGAACCCCAGGCTGCCGAAGCGGAACGTGCACACTTAACTGCTGCGCCACTGGGCTGGCCCCTGTTTCTTTTTGATATATACACTGTGATGACTCCTTCGCCTCGTTCCTCATTTTCTCTGGGAATAATGAATGATAAGGGAAAAGGATCTTCAGCTCCAACTACAAAAAGGGCAGCAGAAACAATCTTGCCTCATTCCAAACAGGTCTCTTCCCTGCTTAGTTGCCTTCTCTCACCCACCTCTAAACAGGACAGCCCATCTGTCTGGAGATGGCCGCAGGGCCCAGCGCGTGTCATACTTAGTAAGGGCTCCAGAAACAATACCTGTGAAAACGGACATTTACAAAATAGGCACTTCGTAAAGAAGCTTCTTTTGATCTGCTAAATGAGAATTTACTAAGATGGGAAGACCTTCCTGAAATGCAGGGCTTTCCTGGGCTGTCTTTATACGTCTGCACTGCAAAATAGGCAAGGGTGACAATAGCATTTTGAGATTAAATTCCATTTTCCGCAGTGTTTTCCCTTTTCCTGTTCCCTTATTCAAGCAGGTGGCGGAGTGTGTTCCCTATTGAATGAGGGGAAACATGTACAGAACACTAAGAAACAGTCCTTAGGAGAGCTGGTGCCCGGCAGGCTGAATCAGATCACAATATTGATCCGTATAGTGTTTTCTGAAATTAAATTGTGTAGACCTATAATAAATGGGGAAACTTCACACAAAAATCTGGGTGTCTGTTTTTTCTTTAAAAAGGAGACTAGAGCTTGAGCAACCTCACTTGCCCACATGGCAACCCGCTGGATCTGAGCAGCAGCTGTTGCATTTAGAACGGTGTATTAAATAGGATAATACAAGCCACTGGAACAGAGAGCACCTCAGACTTAGTGACGTAACACAAAAGAAGGCGGTTTCTCCCTTATGTCTAACAAGCCCAGAGCAGCGGATTCAGAGACCACAGCTCCTTCCTTCCTGTGTCTCCACCATCCCTGGGGGCCTTGGAGTCTTTGATTTCAGCCTGTGGAATGGGAAAAAGGAAGCTGAGAAGCACATCCTTTCTCAGCCACTTTGACCTGACAGTGACGTCCTCTGCTCTATTCCACGGGTGGGACCCCGTCACCTGACCTGCCTAGGTGCAAGGGCACCTGGGAAATGTGGAGCCTGGCTGGGGAGCCACTTCCTGGCCACGACTATTCCATGGCAGGGGAAGCAGGAACGTGTGGTTGGCTTATGCAGCTCCGCCACAAATGGGCGTGTGCACGCCAGTTCACCACGGTGCCCAACACGTGGCCTTTCTATCCCGGAGAGGCCCCTGAAAGCACGCGAGTTTGCAGCCCCGGCTTATGGTGTTTATGCACAGAGCGTGAGGAAAAAACATGGGAAGAGATGGATTCTTCCTAGAATGAAAAAGGGATTCCCTTGGGCTGGGAGGAAGAGAGGTCAGCGGGTCCCTGGGCAGAGGGTCTGTGTGTCTTATTTCCCTGTAATATCATCTAGGAAACTGGTGGACCCTAGGAGGGATGGCTGCATAGTGTAGGGGAGGAAGACATTTCCTTTTCCCAAATGTGGGTTTGTCTGGCCGGAGAACGAATTAAATTCACATGAGACAGAATAGTAAGAGAAAATTAAACAAAGCTTTATGAGGAACCATAGCCCAGGCGGGGCCTTTCTTCCCAAAGGAAGAAAGGGCACCGAAGAAGTGGGGTGCACATAGTGGTTATATACCCCCAAACAGGGTGTTTCACATATGATTGAAATGTCCCTCCCACAATAGTCACAAGATTGCCCTGTCGGCACAGTGCTTGATGGACACACCAGGTAGTGGGTCTGCTATCTTGGTGGGCGCAGCAGGAGGCAAGTCAATTGTCTGGAGCTGGGCGGTCACAGGTGAGCGTGGCAATCAGTTCCTAGCCTAAGGAAAGATGCTTAATCCTTAAGAAATGCCAGCGTCGGGAGGGGGAGGGAAGTTAGTTACAGGAGGTTACCAGACTAGCACAATAAAATGCAGATTTTAAGTCCTTGCCTTTGGTATTGATTAAGAGTTTTTAGAGAGAAGGTCATCTCCTTTCTTCTTCCTGGTACAGAGAGGGAGGCACCTTTTACAGATGGAGACTTACCTTACAAATGTAAACGCGTCCTAACAAAGGGCAAGTTCCATTCCTCAGAGCCTCCTTCCCTGTCCCAGTTTATCAAAAGCAATCAGCCTCAAATAATCCTGATGCCAAAGAGACATATCTTGGGGTGGCCAATTCCAGGTTCCCACAATAGCATGTCTTCACAGATGGGATGAAAGCCACCCCCAATTTGCCCAAACTTGCTGTGTGCGTTGTGGGACACAGAAGTGGTAGAGAACTAATCAACTGAACCAGCATATAAAGCTGGTCAGTGGAGACAACCCAGCCAGATTTTATGGGGATGGAGGACCAAATGGACGTGTGCTTCCCTCTCCATCCCACCCTGCAGGACTGTGTACCTCTCTGGGGTTAGGAAACGCAGGAAGGAAGAAGGCTGACGCCTCATCCCCCTTCCCCAGTAGCTGCTAGGGGGCTACAACTGTCATTACATAAAATAAAGGATACGTTCTCACACACCTGAGTTTATGGACTGCGATCCGTACCCTCAGTTTTGCAATTTTCTAAATGAACGTGCTGAGGAAGGCAGTGACCTTGCTCACTTCAGCTTTTTCTGGGAACTTTGCCCTCCAACTCCCAAACCCAAAGCAGTACTCTGCTCCCAGCTCCGTCCCGCCCACACACTCACCAGAAAAAGCAAACAAAAGCCCAAACCCCGCCAGTTTACAAGCCTTTTCAAGCCGGGGTAGTTGACACTGTGGCTAGTGTTCCAGAAAGCCCAGGATAGGCATTGTGTGTATTCCTGGTGCATCAATTTTGCTCAAAGATTTGAGAAAATATTTTTATATTAAAAGAAACTAGGTTAGGGGCTGGCCCCGTGGCCGAGTGGTTAAGTTCGCGCGCTCCGCTGCAGGCGGCCCAGTGTTTCGTTGGTTCGAATCCTGGGCGCGGACATGGCACTGCTCATCCACGCTGAGGCAGCGTCCCACATACCACAACTAGAAGAACCCACAACGAAGAATATACAACTATGTACCGGGGGCTTTGGGGAGAAAAAGGAAAAATAAAATCTTTAAAAAAAAAAAAAAAGAAACTAGGTTAAATTATGGAGTAGAAACGCAAAATTCACATTTAAAAAAAATGATGAAATTCCAGACTTCAAAGAAACTTCTTTCTCGCGGGGAAGGGGGCCTCCCTGTTCCAGAACCCCATGTGGGTCTCCAACGGAATTCTTTTGAGACGGGCACTTGGGCGGAAAAGTTTGAGGGGCGCTGGCCCTGCGCCCGGCCTGGCTCTGGGCCTACCCCCGGGCTGGGGCTGCGGCTTCCCAGGGTATCGCGTCCCTGTTAATATCTCCGCGTTGCTAAACTCACAGCTTGTCAGCGCACGCGCAACCTGAGAGCTGGGACCAAGTTCCAGCTGGCTCTTTTCACAAGAGGAAATTGAGAATCAGTAACTTTAAAGGACTCGCCTGGGGGGCATCCCGGCTCCCTCGGCCAAGTGCTCCTCCCAGCGTCATTTGGCCGCCTACATCCTTTAATCCGGCAGGATCTCTTGGCTCCGGTGCACGTGCAAAAAACCTCATCCCCCACCTACCCACCCGGGGTCCATTCTCCACTCTGCAGCTCCATCCTTGGGAGCCTGGCCTCTCCAGTGGAGTATCTGGCGGCGGCGCTTAGAAAAGCTTGATAAATTAACGACTGTTGGTTCAGAGCCCAGCCCAGCGGCGGGTGGAGGAGAGGTGGCTGGCTGGGGGGGCGGGGGGTGTTTGCTCCGACTCTCTCGGGGCAGCCTAGAGAGAGGGGCTGGGGTCACGGCTGGAGGTCTGGAACCGGCCTCATCCAGGGCGCCGAAGCACGAACGCAGGGGCAGCCCCTTCCCGCCGCCCACGATGCCCGGACGAGCGCGCAGGCGAGCCCGCTGGCTGGTGCAATCTCCCGCGTGCCTTGCGCTGATCGAAGAGGGGGTTGAAACAGTAAACGCGAGGAGGAGCAACTGATCCCGGGCCCCGGCTGGTAAACACGACCAATGGGGATGCGAGCCCTGTCGCGCGAACCAATCAGCGCCAGGCCGGCGACAGCTCGGGCCAATGGGGACTCCGGCTAGGTGCTGGCAGAAGGCAGAGGGTCGGCGGCGGCCGCAGACTCGCACTGATCTTGCGATCAGTCCTCTCCCGCTGTGTTGTATCCCGCGCCGCTGCACCATGGACGCCCCGACACAGGTGGTCAACTTCGGGCCGGGGCCCGCCAAGCTGCCTCGCTCGGTGAGTGCCCGCGAGCGCGCGCCGGGAGTGCGGTCCGGGCAGGAGCATGCGCGCGGGTGGCCGTGCATCCCGGAGCTGGGCGCTCGGATCCCCCCCCTCCCCGCCCGGAGTCCCCCGCCCGCTTTGCACCAGCGTGCATGGCCGGTTCAGGAGCGCTCGCAGGTGGGCTTCTGGAAGAATGCGCTTCGGGAAGGAAGTGCGGCGAGGCAGGCTTGTGCAGCTGCGCCTGGCGCGGACTGCCCGTGCGAGGCATGCACGACTCGGCCCTCCGGGGCGGCGCACCTGCAGATTCCTCTGCCCGGCCGCGGCGGGGGCGCGGCGGGAAGGAACCGGCTCCTCTCTGCGTTGGCTTCGCCCGGCAGTGCTGCGTGGATGCATGAATGGACATTGTGAATAAATGGTGAATGAAGATTGCGTTCCTGGAGGGGACTGCAAACTGGAGGCCAGCGTATGGCCCCCGGTAAACAGTGTTTGGCGTAGCCAGTACTCGGGAACATTGGTTTTAAGTAATGTAAATTTGAAAACCTCAGTCCAGCCTTTCCCTCCTAGGCCCAAACAGAACCCACCCTACCCTAAAGCCTTTTTCTCCGCTCCGTTTCACGCGTAGATTTGTTTTAAACCCGCTTGTCCTCTAAAGGCATTCGAATATTCAAATTCTGGTAGGCTTTGGGCTGCTAGCCCAGTTCGCTTCTCTTTGTTCTAGAGCAAATCGAATGATTGAATTCTCCCCCGGGCCTCAACCAGACCTTTTCAAGTGCAAGAGGAACTCTCTCCCAGCCTTTGCAGCCCCTAGCCACGTTCCAGCTCCTCCTCCTCCACCCATCCCCCCTCCCCCCCCCCCGCCCCCATTCCCCAAGCCCCAGCTGTGAAGCAGGCAAAGTCTCTGATGAGGTGCCTTGAATGCGCTGACGTTAGCTGCAGCCGCTGCTGTTGTATTTTTATGTTTCTAACCAGGGTGACTCTGATGTATGTTGTAGTAACATGGGGCATAGCCAAGTCCTTTATAATTCTCTATTGTTGCACAGAGTAGAAATCTCCCCGGGACAGAGCCTTCTCTGTGCTGTGGTAAGAACAGAGAATCTTACAATTTTAAAAGGGAAAGCACATCTTGCTTATAGGGGCGGCGCTCACAAGAGCTGAAAGAACAGGGCAGACTTTTTTCTTAGTTTAGGTCAGATTTCCTGCTAGAGTCGTGCAAACCGCCTCACGATTTCTCCCCTCCGTGCTTTGGATTCTTGTGTAATTAGTTATGCATTTATTGTAAAGCCGATTGTCGTGAGTAACACAATTATTTATCAGTTATTTTCCTGAGCGGGTTTATCGCCTCACAGGCGCTCTCTAACCTGGGGGGCTGATGTTGCTTTTTATGTCTTCGTGATGCAGGTGCATTCTCAGGATTAGAGAAGCTTTTCAAACTTTTTTTGACTGTAACCACCATGAAAAATATATTTTACAAAATGCCCAAGTACATGCATATGATTATAATTAAAACAAAAGCCTTAGGAAATATTTAGGCTAATTTCCTACCACATACTTTTATATTCTGTTCCACTCTAGTCTTTTCTATTTCCTTGAAAAAATTGGTTGTGACCTACGAAAGCAATTGCATTCTGCAGTTTGAAAGAAATAAAACTCCACTGGATTAGAGGGGTGTGCTTTTTGAGTAGAAGTCTTTAAAACTCTTTGTGATGATTTTGGTTATAAACTTTTATAGATGTCTATTTAGGCGGTACTGTCTATAAGGGGAATACAGTCTTAAACAGAAGTTCAAAGATGATTCTTTCACGGTCTGATGTTTCTGTTTACTAAAGGAAAGGGTTCACTAAAGTCTCTGTGATCAGCCAGTGGTAATAAGCGTCCGACAGTTTGCAAAACAATGGCAAATTCTTGAACCCCCTTATCAGGGGATTTTTTTGGTCTGATTCTTTATTGTTCAAAAGTTGTCTTTTCAGCCAAGGCTCCATCCAGTTAAGATTATGTTTTAAGATGTCCTTTTTAGCCTGTTTGTTTTAAGGAAACCATCTCTAGTGGCAGGATGCTTCTAGACAGGGCTTATCTCACCTGTTTTGTGTACATTTTTAGAGCTTTTCTTTCACTTTGCTTGGTGGCAGTTCTCACATATACAAAGGTCAAGAGGGGATAATGCAAGGAAATCCAAGGACCCGTTTCTGAGATGTCACAGCTATGGACATTTTGCCAGTTTTGTTTCAGGACCCCCTCCCCGACACTGTCTTTCTCCCTCCTGCTTCTGGGTCATTTTAAAGCCAATCCCAGATATCAGGTCATTTCACACAAACACTTCAGAGTGTGTCTCTGATAGGGCTTTCTATCTTTTCTCCTTAACAAAAATAAAGGATAGATGTGTTTCTTTTTAGTTTGTAGTTATTTGCATTTTGCTTGCCTTTGGGGAAAAAACAGTGGGGCTTCTCCTAAGCCAGCAGCGCTTTGCAAGGGGAGGATGAGCCTTGCCTCCCCTCCCCGTTCCCTCCCCTCCCCTCTCTTTCCCTCCCCTCCCCTTCTCCTCCCTCTCCCGCCCCCACCTCTCCCCGCTCCCCTCCCCTCTCTTTCCCTCCCCTCCCCTTCTCTTCCCCTCTCCTCCCCCACCCTTCCCCTCTCCTTCTCCTCCCCATTATCTGGCACTGTGGGATTGACCCTAAACTGGGTCCCGCTTTCGCAGTTGCCCCTGTAAGACAGAGCGTGATTTGGGACTGCAGTGATTTTCCAGGACGGGTCAAGGGGCTGGCCAAGGACATACATACAGTTAAGTCGCTGACTCTCAGAGCCTCAGCTGGGACTCCTCATCTGCAAACTGGGGATCAGAATACCATTCTAATGGCTCAGTGGGTGGGACCAAAGATCAATACATCAGTACCCCTGACCAATCTTTTTTTTTTTTTTTTTTAAGCATTGGCACCTGGGCTAACAACTGTTGCCAATCTTTTTTTTTTTTCTGCTTTATTTCCCAGCTCCCCGCCCCCCTACACAGTTGTATATCTTAGTTGCAGGTCCTTCTAGTTGTGGGATGTGGGACAGCGCCTCAACGAGGCCTGACGGGTGGTGCCATGTCCGCGCGGATCCTGGGCCGCTCAGCGGAGCGCGCCAACGCGAACTTAACCACTCTTAACCACTGGCCACGGAGCCGGCCCCCTGCGGACCAATCTTTATTCACAGCGGGCGCTTCCTTCCTGCCCCACCAGCCTGTCCCAGTAGAGCAATTTAGGCCAAAAGGATGGGAAATTGAGTTATCTGTTTAATTGGCGCCTAATTTTATTTTTCGTTGTTCCCTGAACCCAGAACTTGATGAATTTTGTACTTTTGCTTTAAGAGAGTGGCAAATGAGATTGTGGAGGGGACGTTTTCTAGGGAATCTGGTTTTTTCCAGAGCTTTTATTCTGACAGTTGAGTTGTCATCAGAAGAATTGTATAGTTGGTCATTTTAAAAAAAATCGAAGTGAATTTTTTTTAAAGGTTGACACCTGAGCTAACATCGGTTGGCAATCTTTTTGTCTTTTTGTTTTTTTCCTTCTCCCCAAAGCACCCCAGTCCGTAGTTGTATACTCTAGTAGTAGGGCCTTCTGGTTGTGCTAAGTGAACTTTTATGTCAAGTAAATTCATGCCTTTGGAAAAACCGTATCCTGGCATCAACCTCTTACGTAATTTCACACGCAACTTGTGTGTAAGTTGCATCAGCAGCCCTGTGGGAACGGTGGGAGGAAGGGACTTGGCCGGGACAGAAGCTTCTGGACCTCACAGGCCTTGTGGGTGCACTGTGGACCCCCTTCCCGGCCCTTCCACCTCCCCAGCTTTGTACATCCAGAGGAAGAGCTGTGTCCAGCATATTCAAATCATCTTTTCTCTTTTTTTTTCTAGGTATTGTTAGAGATACAAAAAGAATTGTTAGACTACAAAGGAGTTGGGATTAGTGTTCTTGGTAAGATTTGCTTTTGGATTCTGTGAATGTCCAGGTTTCAAAGGGAACTAATTGAAATGCAGCGAGCCTAGAATTTCTGCTGGGTCTTTCTAGAGGCCTTTGTTGATGTGTTTTCAAATTTTGATAACTTTGGTTGCCTGTTTGATAGAAGTAATTTTGAAAGCAACATAAATCCTGGTAAGAGGTTCATACATCTCAGCTCATTGTTTCGTAATTGGTGTTTGTTCCTCATATGATCTGAGACTAGATGCTGCACATTTGCATAATTGTGCCCCACACAGTTATAATATTGTTTCATGTTCATGTTATGATTTTTACTATACTTAAAAAGATGAATTTGTTAAAAATTTTAAAGTACACCAACCCTTTATGAAGACCTTGCACATTAATAATTTCATTAAGTTTCTTTCCCCTGTGCTATTGGGGAAGAGGACCATTGAGTTCTAAAATTTACGGGTTTTTTGGTGAGGAAGATTGGCCTTGAGCTAACATCTATTACCAATCTTCCTCTTTTTGCTTGAGGAAGATTGTTGCTGAGCCAACATCTGTGCCAAGCCTCCTCTGTTTTGTATGTGGGATGCCAACATGGCATGGCCTGATGAGCAGTGTGTAGGTCCGTGCCTGGGATCTGAACCTGCAAACCCCGGGCTGCTAAAGCAGAGTGCATGAACTCAACCAGTGCACCACCAGGCTGGCCCTGAAAATTTACTTTTTTATATTTAATTTTCTTTTTCATTTGTGGTCATTCCAAAGGCTGCATAGTATTAAGAGACTGCAAAGTTAACTGTGTGCTCATTGCTATTAAATATTGTTCCTTTGGGTTTGGCACACGTACTTAGGTTTCTGTGAAATGAAGGCACAGTATGGAATTTTGTGCTGTTGTCCTAATGGACAGCCTTTGCACGCAGGCTCATTTGTGAGAAAGAAGTGAGAAATCATAGAAGCCTAAGGATGAATTAGCAAACGGCTCGTTGGATGCATGCACCACTTGAAAAGTCATTCTGCTGTGAATATAAGGCTATGGTGTTTGTAGTTTAAAAATCAATTTGAATATTCCCCTAAACTCAGTGAGCCTCGGCGCACAATTTGAATGCAAAATAACTGAAATTTTTCTTTATTATTTTACTCACAGATTTTGTGGTAACTTCTGTTTGTTTGGTTTTGAACTGGAACTCTTGTTATCTTTCCTTCCACAGAAATGAGCCACAGATCGTCAGATTTCGCTAAGATTGTTAACAACACAGAGAATCTTGTGCGGGAATTGTTGTAAGTTTAAAATTTTAAAGACCTAATTGCGTTCCTCTTGTTTGATAATCTATGCACCTGGGCGTCTGTTACATTATTTACTATACTCTGCTGTATGTTCAGAATATTCCATAATAAAAATAATCTTAGTAAGATTCTCCCAAATTCGCTAATTTAGTCCGTAATGCTTTTTACTTGTTCCCCATCCTGTGTTTGTCTGTTTTATTTTTGTTTTTATTTTATGTGGTGTTTCCTAAGATTTTTCAGCACTGTGGGAGTTGAACTGGCTTAAAACAGATTTAAATGACAAAGAAGTGGTCCTCTTTGTCAGCACAATTAACTGTCATCTAGGGCCACTGGTTCTTAAAGCATGGGCCTCATACCACCTGTCAGGATCAACTGGTTTTGGGGAAGTATTAAAAATTCAAGGGCTGGGCCCCCCCAGATCTGCTGAATTAGAACCTATTTAGAAACTTCATTTTTCACAGGCTCTTTGGGAAGTTCTAAGAGTTCCGAACTCCAGGAACTGCTGCTCACATGAACTTGAACTCTCCTGGGTTATCTCCACTGCTTTTCTTACCCAGAGGAAACCTATTTTTAACTAGATTGCCGTTAAAGGAGAGAGTGTATATATTATATAAATATGTTCACATAAACATGAATATGGTGACCTGGCAAACAAAACACTTTTTTTTCTGCTCACAAAACTATTGCACGTTTATGGTAGAAAGTTTAGAAAAAAACTGAAACTCACAAATTAAACTGGAATTATCTGTAACCCCATCAGTCGGGTAATCGGTGGCAACGTTTTAGTGTCCATTGTTGCATCATTAACAAAATTGGAATCATACGGATTGTTTCATAACTTTCCTTTTAAATTGCCTTGATAAAGTGCTTCCAAGGGGTCAGACTTGGTGACGTTTCGGTGAGGAGCACAAGAAGCTCATTGCAATGTGAGTGTGCAGAACTGGTCATCATCTGCTTGGCCTCATAGGCCGGGTCTGCCTGCTGGGTCCCATGTCACGTTCATAGAACAATCCTGTCCTTGAGGGGGATATTTAGAACATTGGCCTAGGAGATGTGGCGTTTGACCGACCTGGCTGTGAGCCTCTTTGGACCGGACTACCAGTCCAATTTATGGGCAGCTCCCTTGGTTGCCTAATGAAGTTCCTACCTTGTACCCCTGTACCCAGCCTCTCTTTGGCATCCTTCCATCCAATTCTTGGCCTTATGAACTGCCCTGCATCTGAATAACATAAACCAGGAACCCTACCTCAGGCTTCCAGCTGCTGTGAACCTCATGGTTCCAGCCTCCTAAGGCCTGTATGGGTGCTTTGCTGTCCTCCTGAGCACGGGTGTAGGCAGGCACGGGTCAGAACCAGACATTGCATACCACCCATTCCCCAAGACGCTCTCACGATGCTCCACCGTCTGGTACTTTACTCATGCCTCTGCTGTAGCTTTGTCCGCCCGCCGTATACCCTCTGTATGCCTCTTCCCAAAGTCTGACCTTACTCAAAGGCAGGGTCCAGTCTCCATGGCCTGCCCGCTCTGGTGCTGACCTTATCCTACTGCCTGGAGCCATCCATCATCTTTGTGAGTTTTTTTTTTTTTTTTTTAAGGAAGAGTAGCCCTGAGCTAACATCAGCTGCCAATCCTCCTCTTTTTGCTTGAGGGAGACTGGCCCTGAGCTCACATCCGTGCCCATCTTCCTCTATTTTGTATGTGGGACGCCTACCACAGCATGGCTTGCCAAGTGGTGCCATGTCCGCACCTGGGATCTGAACTGGCGAACCCTGGGCCGCTGCGCAAGTGGAACGTGCGCACTTAACCACTGTGCCACTGGGCCGGCTCCCCTCCATCATCTTAATTTTCCATGCTGGTGTCAAAAAGTTTTGCTCTTAATCCCGATGTATGTAGGGTATGTGATTATGTGCTTAGGCCTAAACCTTTATCAGAGATCCTTTTCCAATGTGTAATTGGTTCATGGCATGGACCAGCACATACATCCTTTTAGGACTTTTGATTGCAAGTGATAGAAGCCCAACTCCTGGCTTAGCCATAAAAAGAGGGTGTATTACCTCACATAACAGAAGAGTGCAGAAGTGGTTTAGGAGCTCCGATGATGTCGAGAAAGCCCTTTTCTCCATCTTCTGGCTCTGCTTTTTCATATGTTAACTTCACCAGGTGGCCATCAGCGGTTGCAGGATTAGCTCCTACAAATTCATACTTTGCCTCAATAGAAACAGCTCCTGTTTCCCAAAAGTTGGATCAAAGATCTCAGAACCCAGCCCCGTTGGCCAGCTTGGGCCATGTGCTCATCCCCTGGAGCTGGGCTTGCCACTGGTGAAACCTGTGACCTGAGAGTGGCAGAGGGATGATTCCCCAAAGGAACAGCAGGGTGTTCCTAGCTTCAGCACAAACAGTAACCATCAGCTTCCACCAGGGGCCAAGAAATAGTTGTCCAAGGAGGGCATGGATAATTGGCTGGATTGGGAAGACAAGGTGGTGGTGGGACTTTACCATATTTCTTGCAGTATATCCACTCAAGGTAAAGCACTGATAGAGCATCACTCATTCTCGGGCTTGGGCCACGTGAATCTGCATTTACTGTCACCTGTGCTTCTGCCCAGAGCCGTTCCAGACAACTACAAGGTGATTTTTGTGCAAGGAGGTGGGTCCGGCCAGTTCAGTGCTGTCCCCTTAAACCTGATTGGCCTGAAAGCAGGAAGGTGTGCCGACTATGTGGTGACAGGAGCTTGGTCAGCTAAGGCTGCAGAAGAAGCCAAGAAGTTTGGGACTGTGACTATCGTCCACCCTAAACTTGGGAGTTATACGAGTAAGTGCGGGGAGCTGAGCTGGACAGGGAAATCCTGACTGGGCTGGAGGGAGGGGGAGTGGTCCCTCAGGTAACAGGTTTCCCTGCCCAGGGTAACCTGCACTTGTTAATTCTTTCCTTGTCAGTAGTTAGTTTGATACCGTTTAGACTGGATGGCTGTATCAGTTAAGAGTACTAGCTGGTTGCTGCAGAAAGAGTATTCATAAGCTTACTTAGCTGAAAAGCCCAGGGGTCTGTTTGGCTTTAGGTATGGCTTGATCAAGGGCCCCAACAATGTCTGCAGGTCCTGGTGTCTCCCTGTCTCCTCCGTGGTGGCTCCACAGTCAGGACAGCTGTCCCCTCTTTTTTGGAAGGTGGCTGCAGCCGCTCCTGACCTTATAGTCACCCAAGTTTCAATGCCTTTGCTCAAGCGTTCCCAGTGACAGTCTCATGTCTCATGTGTCCCATTCCAAATCAGTCGTGTGTGGCTGTGCCTGAGTCGCATTCTACCTTTGGGGCTGTGGGTAGAATTGGCTCCATTGTACTATACAGGCTGAGAGTGGCGGGGGGTGGGCTGGAGCCCCAAGAAGAGACTATGGGACCATCAATGGACATAGGATGACGAGGAAAAGCTCCAAATATCCACCACGCCATTCTTAAAAGATTATTTGCACCCGATAACAGTTAAGAGGGTAGGCTTGACCATCCTTTTAGGATGCTGGTGGCGATTACAATGCAAGGTGGATAGGATGCTTTCGTTTGTGGATGCTGTGGCAACAGTCTTTCACTGCTGGGGGAGGGGTCCTTGCTGGTCAACTCCCATCTCCATAAGGAGAGAGGGGGAGAAAAGTGCGGAGTCTCCAACTTGTCTTCTGTGATAGAAATTCCGGATCCCAGCACCTGGAACCTCAGCCCGGACGCCTCCTATGTGTATTACTGCGCCAATGAGACCGTGCACGGAGTGGAGTTTGACTTTATACCTGACGTCAAGGGGGCGGTGCTGGTTTGCGACATGTCCTCGAACTTCCTATCCAAGCCAGTGGATGTTTCCAAGGTGGAGTGTAAAAGAGGCTGGGGTGGGGGGGGGGGGGGGGGCAATTCTTCAAGGGCATTTTCATATATACTAGAACTGGGAAGGGCATGGGAGTCTTGGGCCAGCAGAGACCCCGAAGCCAGGGCAGCTCTCAGTGAGCAGGCCGAGTGTTGCTTGTTTATTATGGGTTGTTAGAATGGTTAAGTCTTGCTTTCCCAGCCCTGTCTCAATGATGGCCTCACAGAGTCACACTGGGGTCCTTGGGGAATTTATCTGCCTTTGAGAGTGGCACTTAGAAAACTTTTTTGGTCACTACATTGGGAGTAGCTTGCTGTCTTCAAAGGAAGATGCAGAATATCCAGGCTCAGGGCGCCTATGAAGGATCCCCACCTTGCCTGGTACCCACCTAACTCCAAGAGCATTGACAGGACAGTAGGCTTTACGAGTAGCACCAAGGTGGGCATGGGAGCAGTGCACCCAGGTGCATGCAGCGATAGGGTGTTGTAAGGGCTGTAAAGAATTTAAAACAAACTGACTGTGTGGTACTCTGCCTCTTGAAAAAGATTGTGCTAAAATATACTTAACATAGAATTTACCATTTTAATGTTTGTTTTTTTTTTGAGGAAGATTAGCTCTGAGCTACCGTCTGCTGCCAATCTTCCTCTTTTTGCTGAGGAAGACTGGCCCTGAGCTAACATCCATGCCCATCTTCCTCTACTTTATATGTGGGATGTCTGCCACTGCATGGCTTGATAAGTGGTGTGTAGGTCCACACCCAGGATCCGAACTGGCGACCCCAGGCCACCGAAGCAGAATGTGTGAACTTAACCACTGTGCCACCAGGCCGGCCCCACCATTTTAACTGTTTTTAAGCATACAGTTCAGTGGCATTAAGTACATTTACATTGTTGTGCAATCATTGCCACCATCCCTCCCCAGAACTTTTTATCTTTCTGAACGGAAACTGCCTAATAAGTAATAACTCCCTCCAGGCCCTGGCAACCACCAATCTTTTCTGTCTCTGAATTCTCCCACTCTTGGTACCTCCTATAGGTGGAATCATGCAATATTTGCCCTTTCGTGTCTAGCATATTTCACTTAGCAGAATGTCCTCAAGGTTCATCAATGTGGTAGCATGTGTCAGAATTTCCTTCCTTTTTAAGGCTGAGTGATATTCCATTTTGTGGATATACCACATTTTGTTGATAGCCTGCTTTTTATTATCAGTCATCATGCACTGGCAATTCTAAACAATGTCACCTATAAAATGCTCCTCCCTGCTGGGCCAGGCTATCCCTGCTCCTTCCACTTGGGATATCACTTGATTTCCCGAAGGGTTTCATGGGGAGACATTGGAGAGATTCTGTGCCTTACATGACAAAATTTCCTGAAGTACCTTTAAACATGTTTTCTAAAATTTCTTCTCTCTCAGGCAGCTCGCCTCATTATTTCTGAGCATCTTCCAATTGTCCCTTTATACATATATAAATGGATTAAAACTTCTGTTTCTTTTGGTTACCAAGGACAGTTTGTAGGCTGGTTTTTTTTTCCTAATGTAACAAAATGTATACTTCCTCTTGATAGCCATTTTTTTTCATTGCACAGAATAGCATAGGGAACCTAAATATTGGCAGAAATTTGGTTATAACTGCTATGTCCCTTTACTCTAGGAAAGGGGGAAGGGAAACCTTGAACTGTAGATGAAAGTTATTCTGCATGTTAAAGAGGAAAATAGAATTTGAGTTGTGCAGTTTTTCAAAAAATTTTTATTGGGGTGGTAATAGTTTATAACATTGTGAAATTTCAGTTGTACATTATTTGTCAATCATCATATAAATGCACCCCTTCACCCCTTGTGCCCACCCCCCAACTCCTTTCCTGCCCAGCAACCACTGAACTGTTCTCTTTGTGTGTTTGTTTATCTTCCACATGTGAGTGAAATCATGCAGTGTTTGTCTTTCTCTGTTTGGCTTATTTCACTTAACATAATGCCCTCAAGAGCCATCCATGTTGTTGCAAATGGGATGATTTTGTCCTTTTTTATGGCTGAGTAGTATTCCACTGTGTGTGTGTGTGTGTGTGTATACACACACACACACATGATCTTTATCCAATCATCTGTAGAAGGGCACTTGGGTTGCTTCCACGTCTGGGCTATCGTGAATAGTGAGCAGCCCATTTTAGGGACTTGCTTGCTTATACAGAGGTGTGCTGAGTGCGTGTGATTATGTGTAAGATCTTCACAGCCTTGGGCTTGGCTCAACCCTCGCTGGGAGAAGGACCAGCGACGTGTCATCTGCAGGCCATGTGTTTGCTGTCGGGCTGGAGATGCCTTTAGAGAACCGTGTGCACTCTCAGCAGGAATAGAAGAGTCACTTTCTCGTAAAAGTTGCGCTTTGGAAAGAAGTTGGGAGGTTGGAATACGTTTATGAGACATGCCCCTGTGCTTCTAAACCCGCCCGTCTCCTCTTCCAGTTCGGAGTGATTTTCGCGGGCGCGCAGAAGAACGTGGGCTCCGCGGGGGTCACGGTGGTGATCGTGCGCGAGGACCTGCTGGGCTTCGCCCTCAGAGAGTGCCCCTCGATCCTCGACTACAAAGTGCAGGCCGGGAACAACTCGCTCTACAACACGCCTTCGTGCTTCAGGTACCTGCGGGCTGCGGCCTCTGGGCCCGTTGAGGGGGTCCCACTGTTCCATCGAGGTCGGGGGGACCTTTTAAAGGAGAGCCGATGGCCGTGCACCGGGGCCCTCATAGCCCAGGTGCCTGTGAGGACTCTTGGCCCGCTTGCCTCTCCCTCGTCCCCCTCTGAGCACTGATGAGTTTTTCTTGTCCTTCATTTTTGGGGCATTTTTATGCGATCTCGGTAGCCTCGGTCGTTCCCTGTTAACCCGGAAGCCCTCCGCAGAGGAGTCCAGCCTGCGTGTCGCACCCCCAGAGCAGCTGGCAGAAGGCCTTTCAGTGGCTGGGCCTCCCCGGCTGTCTTTTCCTTCCCTGCTGGGCCTGCATGAAGCTGGTCGCCTGGCAGCGAGCAGATGGGCTTGGGCCAAACACCTGCTAGTTTTCTGATTTCTCACTTGGTCTGCGGGGCTCCTGTTAGCTTGGCTCCTCGTTGGCTGAATGAGAAAAGGGCATTGCAGCACTTTAGGGGAGAGAAGGCTGCCTCCCCATGATCCTCTCACTCCCACACTCAGGTATTTTGTGAACATCTTTGTGACTCAGGATTTAGTGGTTGCCTGGGAGAGTTTACTACTTACCAGCTGTGTGACTTTGGGCAAGTCGCTTAACCTATCTGTGCAGCCAGGTATACTAATAACACCCTCCTCATTGGGTTGCTGGGAGGATTAAATGAGTTGAGAGGTGTATATAAAATGCACGTAGTGAGCGCCTGGCACTTGGTGATCTATAAATGTAAACTGCTGTATTATGATTGTGGTTTCTGTTGTTGTTAGCTTCCAGAGGCTTATCAGGGGAGGGAAGAGCCAGAGTTTATGGCTTTGTCTTTCGAGGGTGCTGTGATTTAAATAGTGACGTGTTATGTGTGTGACTCTTGGTCTCCCGAGCCCCCTCGGAGGTGGATACTTTTATTCTTCCCACTTTGCAAGTGAAGACGCTGAGGCCATGCTGCTAGAAGAGGCACAGCTGGGATTCGAACCCAGGTAGCCTGGCTCCAGAGCCTGCGGACGTGCCCCCTGCCCCTTGGTGCTCCTCACAAGCAGACTTACAGTGTGGATTTGTTTGTGTTTGAAGGATTCCATCTGAGGAGAAGAGGTGGTGTTGGAGTCCAGCTCTTCCCCTCGACTGGATTCTTCTGTGATGGGTGGAAGTTCTCTTAGAAGAGCATGAAAAAGAGGCGGCTCGGGCTGGGGCAGGCAGCGGGTCCATCGGAGGTCCCCCCGCCAGGTGCTGCCTGTAGGAAATTTCTTCCTCGTGACTTACCGTAGGAAAGAAAGGAGTTTATTCCAAAGTTAGAATTCTGATGGAAATTTCTGCTGGTTTTCTGCACGCTCACATGAGGCAGCTCCGCATTTTGTGTCTCCAGCTTTCCTCCAGGAATGGGGTGTTCTGGTGCTTCCTCTCTTGGTCACCTGGGAACCCCACTCCCTTTCTCCCAGAATGCCTGTTAAGGCTGGGCGGGGTTGAGTCTCTCTCACCCTTCTTACCTCTTGGTTGGGGGGGGGGGTGGGTAGTGGGAAAACAGTGATTGCTGGCCAAGTGGGGAGTGAGAACTGGGCGTGCTGAGGGCTGAAGACACTGTTGGGAGCCCTCAAGGACAGGGCTCCCGGAGAAGGGGCTTTGGTCCCAGGCTGCACAGAGGCGGGGGATGGGCTCCTTATGTTAGTAGCTGGGCCCGGGGCCTGGCTCATGGTCAGGTGAGCCTTTCAGGGCGAGGCAAAGGCGGCCACTGGCTTTGGGAAGGTGGCAGGAGGCAGGCAGAGCACTTGCCCTGAAATGGCGCCTGAAGGCTGATCAGAGCACGGCCTGGAGGAGCAGGGAGCTGACACACTCTCTGGCACCTTCTCCAAGAGGTAACGTGATGCAAATTTTAAGAAAATGTAATGAATACATTAATATGCTATTTGTTAATGTTAGGGTGAAAAATAGTGGAAACCGTGAGAAAGCTGGTCAGTCTGTCTGGTGGGAGATGAAAGTGTCTGGACACGCAGAGAGAAAGTCCTCCTGGGATAGCGGCTTTCTTAGAGGACGGCTTCTCTACCTGCCCCTGTGCGGGCCTTGACCTGGCCTTGACTAGTCGGGTCAGCTGGTCACCTGGCCGGCTGGGGGAGGCTACAGGGTGGGAGAAGGGCAGGAACTCCCTCCCCAGAGCTTTCCTGCCCTAGGAGGGGACTGAGCTAGAGACAAGGGCAGAAAAGGGGCGAAGTGTCTTCCCCAGACACATCAGAATAGTGACCATGAGACCCTCTCAGGGCAGGACTGTTAATATTTGATTAGAGTCGTGTAAATGTAGAAGGCGAGAGACTGGGTTAAATGTATTCTGAGCCAAGACACCCCCTGGAAGTTGCTTGGCTTTCTTTTATCCCAAAAGAAGAGAAGAGGAAAAAAGTCTAATTCTGTTTAATTGTGCAGTTACCCTAAATCTAAGACTTGAAAAACTTAGAGGTCATTTGCCGTACTTAAACATTCAAGATTAGAAAATTGTAGCTCGCCCAGTGAGAGCCAGCTCCAAATGGAGTTGGGAAGATTTGTCCCTCCCATCCTTGTACGAGGCTGATAAAGCCCCCAGAACACGTTGGAACTTTGTATCACATAGGAACCTTGGAAAGGACCCAAGTTTGAACACAAGCCTTTTTTTCTGTTTTAAAATCAGAGCCAAATGACCATCGGCCCTGGGCACTTGGTTTGAACTGTGCTGGATACTGGCCTTCAGAGTTGCCTGTAGCCCTGAGCGGTGAATTGGGGTGGAATAAAGGGCCTCGTGGTCAGGCTGTTTAACCCTTTAGGAGAAGACAGTAAGCCCAGCAAGTGGGTAAGCAAAAAGCCGCCCAAACTTTCCTTCTAGCCCCATGACACAGTTCTTACTTACCATGACTAACTGAACCCTAAGTAATAATTTGTTTTATCTGTAGTATGAGGTAAAGTAACTAATAAGAAAGAAAATAACCCCACTACCCTAGCCACCTTTCTTACCAGAAAACCCCCGGGGGGCTTAGCCTTACCCATCATCAACTCTAGAAACTTCTGCTGAGGTAGAGTCTTCAGCCAGGGCGAGTTTTCTGGGCACTTTATGGTGTGTTGTCTAGGCCCTAGTGCACAGAGTACTCTATGGCTTTAAAAGATTTATAAAAGGATCCTGTGTTTTTAGCCAGCCCAGGGGTCTCGTGGTTAAGATTCGGCTCTCTCACCGCCGTGGCCTGGGTTCGTTTCCTGGTCAGGCAACCACACCACCCGTCTGTCGGTTGTCACACTGTGGCAGCTGCGTGTTGCTGTGATGCTGAAAGCTGTGCCGCTGGGATTTCAAATCCCAGCAGAGTCACCCATGGTGGACAGGGATCGGCGGAGCTTCCAGACCAAGACAGACTAGGAAGAAGGACCTGGCCACCCACTTAGGAAGAAATTGTCCGTGAAAAGCCTATGAAGAGGGGAGCATTGTCTGATAGAGTAACGGAGGGTGAAAGGATGGTGCAGAAGGACCGGGCAGGGTTCTGCTCTGCTGTGCACAGGGGCGCTAGGGGTCGGAGTTGACTAACAACAAAACAGGTGCTCTTAGTAAAGATTTCTGAAGCGAGCAGAGCCTGCCAGGTAACCACTGTTAATTGCTTACTGTGTATCCTAACAGACCCTTAAGCGGGCATATGCAGATCTACAGAACCATGTATTTTAATTGTGTGCATGGAACTTTACCATACAGACTATTCTGTGAATTCCTTTTTTTCCATCCAACAATATACTGTGAATGCCGTTATCTTAGCTCAAATGCTTGCCTTTTTTTCCTTCGAATTGCTGTATGATATTCATAGAATGGCTGTGCTGTGGTTTATTGAGTCATTTAACAGGCAGGCTCAGATGGTAAACCTGTGCTGTGTGTTTGGAGGTGGCATTTCAGAAGTAAAGGCATAAATCGGTTACAAGTATTATACTGGTAGAGGGGAGAATTGAGACCCAGTTGCAAAGCTGCTTAACCATTTTAGGGCCCTTAGATTTTGAAAATTTTGCATTGTATGGGGGTAGAAGCCTGATTTAATAATGAATGGAAAGCCACAGGAGAATCACAGAGGCTAGACATCCTTCCACTCCAGGGATGTCTTCTGGTCTCCAGGACAGCCATCTGCCTCTTGCTGAGGCTTCATACACCTAGCCTGAGGGGGCTGGCTCTGGGCAACGTGTAAATGGGTGGGCTTTCTGCTGACTGCCTGCTCAGATTGCATTAAAATTTCTCAGAGGGCATGGGCAGTGGGTCTGAGCATGACAGTGTTGGTGCTGAGGTCTGTCTAGGACTGTGGACCTGGCCTGGGCCCTTGCTACAACTTGGGAACCCTGAGATAACAGAGTTGCAGGTAAAAGCAAAGCTTGGCCTCCGAAAAGTACTGTCAGTAGACGGGCTCGAGGGTGGCGCTGCTCGGATCGTGTGGCAGGGTGTGTTTCTGTGGTTCGTCGGGGAGTGAGCAGTTCTGGGTTAGATGGGAATTCTAGAGCATCTTATGGAACAGAGGGGCGGATGGACAGCATCTTATCTGGAACACACACATGTCCACATGCACATGTGTGCTGTGATGCCCCTGTAGCAGCTGGACTTGGCGGCTGTGTCTGTGACGCTTGGTGCCAGCCTGGCTGCCCCACTAGCAGGTGAGATAGTGGTTGAGGGTCCTGGATCCCCTAGTAAACCAGAGGCCTTTGTTACTAGTGAAAAGAACTTGGGCTTTGGAGTCAAACTGACTGGGGTTGGAATCCTGGCTTTATCAACCACCCGCTGGGTGACTTTCGCCAAGTTAAGCACTCTGAGTGTGTTTCCTCATCTGTAAAATAGGATAATGGTGGCTCTGACCTCAGGATTATTGTGATAAAGAGAGAGCAACTAGCAGGCAGGATGCCTGGCCCGCCATAGACCTCAGCAGTATTCATTCCCTTCTCATTTCTTTCTCCTTGTCCCTTTGATTTCTCAGTCTTTATCCAGAGAGCTACAGCTAAGGCTGTAAATCACCCAGGGGCCGTTTTCTGCTCTGCCCTCCCTTCTCTTTCTATTTGCTGCTTTTTCTCTGCTCCCAGGGCTGTCGGGGAGCTGGGCTGGGGAAGCTTCCAGAGAAGGTTTCGCATGCTTCTGGGTGCTGGCTGTTGTCTGCCCAGTGCCCGCTGGGCGGGCAGCCTGGCCTTGGTTTGTGCTGCCTTCTGGGGGTGAAAGCGCCTGGGTCCTCCACCCACCCGGCTGAGACAGTGAGTGAGCCAGGCAGTGTCTTGGGCTTCCCAGGGGCAAGCCTCTTGCTATTAGAGCCTTTTACCCAGAGTAGCTTTCAGCAGATCCCCGGGGAAACCATCCGACGGGCTTCGACATCCTGTGGTTTTGGCTTAGTTTTGAGCACTTAATAGTAAAGGGTTTGTTTGGCCACACAGAGACAGTGGGACAGAGGAGAGCCCGACAAGTAGGCTTTTCTACATTCTTCCCTGTCTACCACCGAGCTCATGCTAAGGTGACAGCTCCCTTCCTGAGACAGGTTTCCTATCTGAATTCTTTTAGGTAGTCAAGGGGGAGGAAACAAGAAAAACTTGGTCTTTTGTTTCTTAAAAATAGTCAGCTTAAAAAAAATAACCAGGGGGCCCGCCCGGTGGCGCAGCGGTTAAGTGTGCATGTTTCGCTTCTCGGCGGCTCGGGGTTTGCCGGCTCGGATCCCGGGTGTGGACATGGCACTGCTTGGCAAAAGCCATGCTGTTGTAAGCATCCCACATATAAAGTAGAGGAAGATGGGCACGGTTGTTAGCTCAGGGCCAGTCTTCTCTTCCTCAGCAAAAAAGAGGAAGATTGGCAGCAGTTAGCTCAGGGCTAATCTTCCCCCCCAAAAAAATCAGCTTATTAAGTGCTAATGAAACGCTTAATGGTGAAGTGCTTTATTAGTAAAGCACTAAATAGTGAGTAGTGGCACTAACTGCCTGCTTGTGTGGCCCACCTGCCACATGCCAGGCCCGGGGCCAAGCACTTCCCCCAGCCCATCTCCTGTCGTCACCACAGGAGCCCTGAGGTCTCACAGGTGACAGATTGAAATATGGGCTAGAAAAGGACGGTCCCAAGCTGCAGGAAGGACCGAGGAGCAGCAGGGCCTCTTAGAACCTGGGACACACCTTGGTTCTCTCTGTTGGAGTGCTGGCTTCGGTTTTTCAGATGTTCCTTAGGGCCCTTAGCTCATAGCCCACAGTTTCACCAACACACCATTCTGCCCCTTTCTCCTAACTCCCGATTCAGAAAATCCCCTGGAGGGCTCTGATGCTCCAGTTAGCTCCCGTGCCCCACTCTGAGACCAGGGAGCAGGGGACCCTACTGCATCTGCCTGTTGGGTGGGAGGGTGGGGTTGGAGGCCTCCCTGGTTCCGGATGGGAAGGCCAAGGTTTGGATTCCTGAGGTGACTAATCCTGGGTGATCTGTTAGTAAGAGGCAGCAGTGGGACTAGAGTCCGGACTACTATGTCATACTGCCTCCTGCCAGGGGGAGAGCCCTGTGTCAGGGCTGTGGGCTGGAAAAGGTGAACACTGTGTGCTTCCAGCTTTCCTAGACTGTGGAAGCCAAAACACGGGCACATAGAAATAGAAAATAGAGGTGTGACTGGAAAAAACTGTATGGGAAGCATGAGCAGAGGGCTCTGGGAGTTCAGCAAGTAAAGGGTTAACTGGGTGGGGTGGGAGTGGGGAGCCGGGGTCTGAAGATGCTCGTAGGGGGATAAAATGTCAGCAGCCTGAGATAGGCAAGTATGGTCCACGTGCTGCGAGGAGTTCGCATTAGGACTTGGGCTGGACAGATTGGACCGATGTGATGTCCAATGAGGAGTCTAATGAAACTTTGCTTCTGAATGGCCCTCAGGGGCCTAGAATTGAGTTGATGCTAGTTCTTGATTCATGACACGCTCCCTCCTTGGTCTATACTTGTCTGCTTTCATCTTGTCTTAGTGATGTCTTTAAGTCTGTTTTAGTACAACTTAAACAGGTTTGGTTGAATGTCTTTCCACTGGTGCAAAGCTGAACTGAAGGGTTTCTTTTTCAATCTTTGTTTTAGCATCTACGTCATGGGCCTGGTCCTGGAGTGGATTAAGAACAACGGTGGTGCAGCAGCCATGGAGAAGCTTAGCTCCATCAAATCTCAGATGATTTACGATATTATTGATAATTCTCAAGGCTTCTATGTGTAAGTCGGTGGATTTTATCTCACATTTTACCTCTTGTGGATTTAAAAATGTGCATGCCATGTAGCTTTGACCAGTAGATGCCTTCGCCTTTCTCTGAGACACTGAAGTGCTGGTGAGCTGGGTGGGCATGAGCTGGGCCCAGGAACGGGGGCAGGTGAGCTCTTCCCTCTGCATCCCTGTCCAGGAACCCCAGGCTTTGGCACCTGCCTCCCAGTGGGTGTCTTTCTCACACCCAAGACAAAGATATCGCCTGGGGGAAGAGTCTCATTTCACCCCCTGAGTGGACCCCTTCTCCCACTGCCTGTGTCCTCTGTATGTCCCTGGGAACAAAGCATGCAGACTTGCTGGAAGCTCTCCACTTTACCTAGAGACTCTGCTGGAGCCCCTTGGTGTAACCACTCACTCCTGGCCCCACCTCCGGGTTATTTACCCTTTTAGGAACATTCACTGCTTCCCTTATTACAAGAGGAATGCTCCCATCCCAGGCCTGCAGTCTGTGAATGGAATTGCCTGTGCTTATGAGTTGACTGCTAGTTAAACATTTTTGTGACCACTTGATTCATGAATGTGTGTTGACCACTGGACCGGCACCATGGGCCTTGTATTAGTCTCCTAGGGCTTCTGGAACAAACTATAGTCATGTGCTGCATAATAATGTTTTGGTTAACAACGGACCACATAGTGGTCCCATAAGATTAGTACCATATAGCCTGGGTGTGTCGTGGGGCTGTGCCATCTAGGTTTGTGTAAGCACTATAGGGGAGGAAGAAATTTTCTTCTACTTTTCTAGGTTCTTCTGGCTGATCTAAGAATTAATTTGACATGAGACAGATTAACAGGAGAAAAACAAAAGTTTAATAACATGTATACATGGGAGAAACCCAGGAAAACTGAGTAACTCGCCAAAAGCCCTCACCTTAAGTACCATCCTCGGCTAAAGACAAAAGAAGATGTTGGAAGTGTAGTGAGTCAGGGACTTCAAAGGGAAGGAAGACAATTCACAGGCAGGTGACAAGGAGCAACAGTTTGGAAAACAGGTGTTTGGCCACACAGAAACGGAAGAACACAGAGGGGAGCCCAACAAACAGGCTTTTCTAGGTTCCTCCCTGTCTGCCACCTTGTTCATGTGATGCTAAGGTGACAGCTCGCTTCCTGAGACAGGTTATCTGAATTCTTTTAGGCAGTGAAGGGGGACATAACAGGAAAAACTTTAAGTCTTTTGTTTCTTAAAAATAATCAGCCTGAAATAATCCTCATGTTAAGGAGACACAGTTTGGGGTGGCAAGTTTTGTTCCCCATCAGTACACTCTGAGGTTCACACAATGATGAAGTCGCCTAACGATGCATTTGTCAGACCGTATCCCCGTCTTTAAGCAATGCATGACTGTACTAGAAACTGGGTGGCTTTCAAGGTGTCAGCAAGGCTCTGCTCCCTCCAGAGACTCTGGGGAAGAATCCATTTGCGTCTCTTCAGCTTCTGGTGGCTCCCAGGGTCCTTGGCTTGTGGCTGCGTCACCCCTTTCTCTGCCTCTGCCTTCACGTGGGCTTCTCCTTTCTTGTGTGTCTACTTTTCTGCCTCTTAGAAGGAGGGGTCATTGGATTTAGGGCCTGCCCACGTAACCCAGGATGAACTCTCTCATCCAGAGAGCCTTAACATAACTGCACCAGCAAAGACCCTTTTCCCAAATAGGTCACATTCACAGATTCTGGGGTTAGGACATGGAGATACCTTTCTGGGGGCCACCATTCAACACTCTATGACAGACCTCAGCAAAATGCCAGATGTGAAGCACCTAGTACACTGCCCGGCATACGAGGAGCTTAACAGATGACTTCTTCGTGTGCTTTTGCCCTTTGAGGTGGAGACAGGCGTATAAGGACCAGACTTTATGCTTTGTGTGTGCATGTTTGTACACGTATTTATATGCACATAATAAATACTTATACTGATTTATCAGGCCTGGATCCCCTTCTTTTTTTTAACATTGGCACTTGAGCTAACTGTTGCCAATCTTGTTTTTTTTTCTGCTTTTTCTCCCCAAATCCCCCCAGTCCATAGTTGTATATTCTAGTTGTAGGTCCTTCTAGTTGTGCTGTGTGGGACACCACCTCAGCATGGCCTGATGAGTGATGCCATGTCCGCGCCCAGGATCCAAACTGGTGAAACCCTGGGCCACCAAAGCAGAGTGCGTGAACTTAATCACTCGGCCACGGGGCTGGCCCCTGGATCCCCTTCTTAATGGCCATTACTCTTTGGGGTTCAGTCTGTTATAACAAAAATATCTGGCTGACAGTAACACGGGGATTTGCACTCTCAGAATTTAGTGGGCCACACAGGACAGACAAAACGATGCCTCAATCCTAACTTGTAACACATCTCCATTACCATTATGAGTGGGGGTGGGGATGTACTTTTTGGACAGCGAGGATAAAGCAGCGTGCTGCCGCCACCTCTGCCCTTAAATTGCTGGTTGCCTGCACAATCCTGTGAATTATTGGTGTGCAGTGACCCTCCAGCTACAAGCCCTGGGGAAGTCTGGCTTGGCTGGATGCCTTGGCCTTTGCGCTCCTCTGCCCCGTGCCCTCTGGGGGAAGGGGTGCACACTCTGCATTTCTGCTCGCTCTCTGGTTCTGGGCAACAGAGGCAAGTGCCAGCTGGGGGCTTGGTCCTGGGGAATCTTCTACCTAGACCTTGATGCGTGAGTGGGCAGGCCAGGGTGCCCCACCAGCACTTACTGGAGCCATTTTAACATGCATGATTAGTAGATGGTCCAAGGAGTTCAGAGGCAAGGACTAAATAATGAGGCATGGCCTCAGAGCGGGAAGTTACTGTTTTGGCTGGAGGGGAAAGGAGGGGTTTTGGATGAGCTAGAGCCTTGGGCGTGAGTAGAATTAGGCAGAAAAGAGTACAGAAGTATTTTTAGGAATTTGTAGGAACGCAGGGAATGACCCCTGCAAAGGCATTGAGGGAGGAAAGTACAGTGTCTTTAGGGGATGCCTTGTGCTGGGATTGGAAAGAAAGTGTGGAAAGGTCCGAGGGCATGTTTAATACGCTTGTTCATCTATCCATTCATCTATCTATCTACCCACTCATCCATTCATGTATCCATCCTGCCTTCCATCCCTCCATCCACCCACTCATTTATCCATCTATCCACCCATCTGTCCATCCATCCATCTATCTCCCCATCCAGTCACTCATCTCTCCATCTATCCACCCACCCATCTACCTACCTACCCACCCATCCATCTGTCTCCCCATCCAGTCACCCATCCCTCCCTCCATCCATCCACCCATTCATCTACCCATCTACTCATCTACCCACCCATCCATCCATCCCCCCATCCAGTCACCCCACCCCTTCCATCCACCCACCCATCCACCCACTCACCCATCCATCCATCCATTCATTCATCTATTCGTTCATCTATCCATCCATACTCCCATTCCCCAACCACTCACCTATCTATCCACTCACCCAACCACCCAACTACCTACCCATCCACCCACCCACCCGTCTGTCCATCCAGCAAATGACTCCTGGGCTAGCCTTGTTCTAGGCTCTGGGGATACCCAGAAGAATGTCATCTTTCCTGACTCCCAAAGAGTGCTCAGAACCTGCCTGTGAGTGAAAGCACTTGGCTGCTATTATGGAGGAGAGACCAATTTTTCTATTAGCTTTTGGCTCATATGTTTCTCAGGAGATGTATAGGTACAAAATGGGAGGACAGAAAAATTGGTGATGCCTCTGGAAAAAATCCAGAGAATTAGAAACAAAATAAAGCATAGAAGGAACACTGGGAATCCCCTGAATTTTTTTTCCCCTGAGGTCCTTTAATTCCAAGCACCCAACCTGGCGTTTCCCAGAAGGCAGCCTCCTGAAGCCAGGGTGGCAGGTGGGTTGTCTCCTGGGGAATCTGATTTCCTTCACTTAGGAACTCCTCACTTAGGAACAGTCTTGACCCAGAACCTGCATCCTCTTCAGAATAAACCTCTTTCTGAGAACTTCCATCCACCCCCTGGGCCGCCTGCCCAGAAAATGCCATCCTGGCTCGTGACATTCCTGTGGGACCTTGTTACTGGAGTCAAGAGCAGAATTTTGTCCCTCTCTCCTTGGTGTTTGCATTTGGACGCTCATGAGCTGTTTCTGTACTCACTTGGGTTTTCAGGAAATTTTTTACTTTTCTTTCAAACTATGGAAATACGTCCCCAAAAGACGAGGTGAGCAATTTTAAAAAGGAATTCTGAGTAACCTACAATTAGAATTTGCCACTTTCCCCCACCTTTGCTCCTCATTGTTGACCCCCCTTGGTGCCCCCTTGACATGTGATGCAGCACATTTACTGAACATGGTGCTGGACAGTTTTCTGGGCCTTGCGCCAGCCCTGCCATTGAGCCTGGCGGGGAACTCAGCCGTTGAAGTCCCCACAATCTTCTGTAGCCTGACCACCCAGACGGTGCTGGTGACTTCGAGTTAAGCCCACGTGGAAAGTGTAGCATCTTGGCCTCAGGAGTCCTGCTTTGCCACTTACTAGCAGTGGCCTTGGGCAAATGGCCTAACTGCTCTAGACTCGGTTTCCTCATCTGTACAATGGACAGAATGATAGTGCATACTTCTTACGACTGTCATGAGAATTAGAGGAAAGTGCACTGAATAAAGTATGTGATATAGGGGTTAAGAACATGGGCTCTTGCACTGGTTAATTTCTATAAAGCACTAGAAACAGTCCTTGGCACATAGGGAGCATTCCTTAAGAGTTAGTTCTTAATATTATTATTTGTGGTTATCGTGGAAAGCATTTAGGATGTTCCTGACATACAGTGCTTAATATATATTGGATGTTAATTTTAATATTTTAAAGATGTCCAAGTGATCAGTCCGTGTCCAGGTCTGAGGTCACCATCCTCACCACCTGCATGTGGGGACCAGGCCTTAGAAAAGAGGGAAGCGTGCGATGGGTTTAGTGACAAGCCGAAAACAAATGAAGCAGACAGAGC